TACCGTTAAACCGATAGTAACTAAAGAAATCAACCCTCCAGGCACAACAGGAGAAACAATGTGAACATCAAATTCAATTCAATTCAACAAATGCTTATTGACTGTCTGGTGTGTGCCAGGAAACCTAGTATGTATAAAGTAATACAACAACAGTAAACAAGACAATAGTGAGCAAGACAGACACAGTCTCTATCGATAAAATCATGGGAAGGTAGACCTTAAGCAAAGAATTCCAAGTGTGATGTTTGTTGTTGTTAGGTGCCGTCAAGTCAGTTCTGACTCATAGCAACCCTATGTACAAGTAGGAAACACTGCCCGTTACTACACCATCCTCACAATCGTTATATTTGACCCCATTGTTGCAGCCACTGTGTCAATTCATCTCATCAAGTGTCTTCCTCTTTATCACTGACCCTCTTTATTAAGACCAAGTATGAAGTCCTTCTCCAGGGACTGGTCCCTCCAGATAGCATGTCCAAAGTATGTGAGACAAAGTCTCACCATCCTTGTTTCCAAGGAACACTCTGGCTGTATTTCTTCCAAGACAGACTTGTTCATTCTTCTGCAGTCCATGGTATATTCAATATTCTTCACCAACACTATATTTCAAAGGCATCAATTCTTCTTCGGTTTTCCGTATTCATTGACCAGCTTTCGCATGCATATGAGGCGATTGAAAATATCATGGCTTGGGCCAGGCACACTTTAGTCCTTAGTGTGATATCTTTGCTTTTTAACACTTTAAAGAGATCTTTTGCGGTAGATTTGCACAACGCAATGTGTCTGTTGATTTCTTGACTGCTGCTTCCGTTGGCGTTGATTGTGGATCCAAGTAAAATGAAATCCTTGACAATTTCAATCTTTTCTCCATTTATCATTATGTTGCTTATTGGGCCAGTTGTGAGGATTTTTGTTCTCTTTATGTTGAGGTGTAATCCTTACTGAAGGCTGTAGTCTTTGATCTTCAGTAAGTGCTTTAAGTTGTCTTTGCTTTCAGCAAGCAAGGTTGTGTCATCTGCATAATGCAGGTTGTTAACGAGTCTTCCTCCAATCCTGATGCCCCATTCTTCTTCATATAGTCCGACTTCTCGCATTATTTGCTCAGCATACAGATTGAATAAGTATGGTGAAAGGCTACAACTCTGACACACACCTTTCTTGATTTTAAACCATGCATTATCCCCTTGCTCTTTTTGAATGATTGCCTCTTGGTCTATGTACAGGTTCCACATGAGCACAGTGAAGTGTTCTGGAATTCTCATTCTTCTCAATGTTATCTGTAATTTGTCAGGTTCCACACAGTTGAATGTATTTGCATAGTCAGTAGACACAGCTAAACATCTTTCTGGTATTCTATGCTTTCAGCCAAGATCCATCTGACATGAGCAATGATATCTCTCGTTCCATGTCCTCTTCTGAACGCGGCTTGAATTTCTGGCAGTTCCCTGTTGATGTACCGCTGCAACAGCTTTTGAATTATCTGCAGCAAAATTTTACTTGCATATGATATTGATGATATTTTTCGATAATTTCTGCATTCGAGTGGATCACTTTTCTTTGGAATGGGCAGAAATATGGATATCTTCCAGTCAATTGGCCAGGTGGCTGTCTTCCAAATTTCTTGGCATAGATGAAGGAGCACCTCAATTGGTATTCCGTCAGTTCCTGGAGCCTTGTTTTTCTTCAATGCCTTCCGTGCAGCTTGGACTTCTTCCTTCAATACCATCGGTTCTTGATCATATGCTACCTCCTGAAATGGCAGAATGTTGACCAATTCTTTTTGGTACAGTGACTCTGTGTATTCCTTCCATCTGCTTTTGATGCTTCCTGCATCATTCAATATTTTGCCCATAGAATCCTTCAATATTGTACCTGGAGGCTTGAATTTTTTCTTCAGTCCTTTCAGCTTGAGAAATGCCCAGCATGATCTTCCCTTTTGGTTTTCTAACTCCAGGTCTTTGCACATTTCATTATAATATTTGACTTTGTCTTCTTGAGCTGCCCTTTTAAATCTTCTGTTCAGCTCTTTTACCTCATCATTTCTTCCTCTCCCTTTAGCTACTCTGTGTTAAAGAGCAAGTTTCAGAATCTCTCTGACATCCATTTTGGTCTTTTCTTTCTTTCCTCTCTTTTAAATGACATTTTGCTTTCTTCATGCATGATGTCCTTAATGTCTTCCCACAACTCATCCAGTCTTTGATCATTAGTATTCAATGTGTCAAATCTATTCTTGAGATGGTTTCCCAATTCAGGTGGGATATACCTAAGGTCATATTTTGGCTCTCACGGACTTGTTTTAATTTTCTTCAGCTTCAACTTGAACTTGCATATGAGCAATTGATGGTCTGTTCTGCAGTCGGCCCCGGCCTTGTTCTGACTGATGATATTCAGCTTTTCCATCGTCTCTTTCCACAGATGTAGTTGATTTGATTCTTGTGTTTCCCATCTGGTGAGGTCCACACGTATAGTCATCGTTTATGTTGTTGAAAAAAGGTATTTGCGATGAGTAAGTCGTTGGTCTTGCAAAATTCTATCATGCCATCTCCAGCACAGTTTCTGTCACCAAGGTCGTATTTTCCAACTACTGATCCTTCTTTGTTTCCAGCTCTCACATTCCAGTTACTAGTAATTATCAATGCATCTTGATTGCATCTTTGATCGATTTCAGACTGCAGAAGTTGGTAAAAATCTTCAGTTTCCTCATCTATGGCATTAGTTGTTGGTGTGTAAATTTGGATAATAGTTGTATTAACTGATCTTCCTTGTAGCTGTACAGATATTATCCCTTCACTGACAGCATTGTACTTCAGGATAGATCTTGAAATGTTCTTTTTCATGATGGATGATACCCCATTCCTCTTCAATTTGTCATTCCCAGCATAGTAGACCATGAGATTGTCTGATTCAAGATGGCCAATACCAGTTCATTTCAGCTCACTAATGCCTAGGATATCAATCTTTATGGGTTCCATTTCATTTTTGATGGCTTCCAATTTTCCTAGATTCATACTTTGGACATTCCACATTCCAATTATTAATGGATGTTTCTTCTCATTTTGAGTCGTGGCACATCAGCAAATGAAGGTCCCGAAAGCTTAACTCCATCCATGTCATTAAGGTCGACTCTACTTTGAGGAGGCAGCTCTTTCCCAGTCGTATTTTGAATGCCCTCCAACCTGAAGGGCTCATCTTCTGGCAGTATATCAGACAATGATCCAGTGCTATTCATAGGTTTTCACTGGCAAATTTTTTCAGAAGTAGATTGTCAGGTCCTTCTTCCTAGTTTGTCTTAGTCTGGAAGCTCCGCTGAAACCTGTCCACCACGGGTGACTCTGCTGGTATTTGAAATACCAATGGCAAAGCTTCAGTATTACAGCAACATGCAAGCCATCATAGTACAACAAACTAACAGACACATGGTGGTCCAAGTGTGATAAGGTTACCTAACTGGGAGGAATGTAATGTTAGAAGAGTATAAGAAAAAAAAGGCAGGGAAGTTAAAGAATGAGAGAGTGTTCGCCTGTTAAAGATCAGCGGATAACAATAACAACTCAACAATAAAGAGAAAAATAATCCAATTTAAAAATGAGTGAAGAATTTGAATAGACATTTCTCCAAGGAAGATGTATAGATGTCCAATAAGGACATGAAAAGAAATTCAATGTCATTCATCATTAGGAAATGCAAATCAAAACCATAATGAGATACCACTTCACACCCACTAACAAGGCTGTAATAAAGCAGATGGACAATAGCAAGTGTTAATGAGGATGGAGGAATTGGAACCCCCATATACTGCTGGTATATGGAAAACATGTTAGTGGTTCCTCAATAAGTTAAACAGAATTACCAAATGACCCAGTAGCTCCACTCTTAGATATCTACCCAAAAGAATTAAAATAGCTCCACAAAAAGACTTGTACATAGATGTTCATAGCAGACTTATAATGGTGAAAAAGTAGTAACAAACCAAATGTCCATCAACTGACAAATGGATAAAATATGGTTTATCCATACAATGAAATATTATTCAGTCATAAAAAAGAATGAAGTACTCATACATCCTACAACATGGATGGACCTTAAAAACATTATGCCAAGTGAAAGAACCCCGTCACAAAAGTCCACATAAGGGCTCTGCTGCCCTTGCCCTTTATATAAACATCATCTTGGTCCTTGTGCTAATGGATATGTGAGTGCAGTCTAATAAGCAAATTTGTTTGATGTAAATAGTCTGTGGGAAATACAGAAAGGTGACCCTGAAATGAGAGAGAAATAATGAAATTGAAACTGTCTAATGAAGAATTTTAGTGCCAAATAGATTTTTAATGTTTGCTATAATAAGTAATAGGAACCACAGTAGTGTTTTAACCGATGGGAAAAACAAAAAAACAAAAAACCAAACCCGTTGCCATTGAGTCATTTCTGACTCATAGTGACCCTATAGGACCGAGTAGAACTGCCCCATAGAGTTTCCAAGGAGTGCCTCGTGGATTCAAGCTGCTGACCTTTTGCTTAGCAGCCGTAGCAGTTAACTACTACACCACCAGGGTTTCCTAACTGATGGGAGACATGATAAAATGATGTTCGAGTAGAATCACTCTGACAACTCTGTTTATGATACATACTTTCAGATCTGAGCTTATACGATCTCCTATTTTTTCTAACTTGTGAACAGTTTCAGAATCTTATGAAAAATACAGTACAGCTTTATATTTAATGACTCATCAGTGTTGAAAGGAAAAAAATTACATGTAATAGAAATGCTTAGAAAATCAAAGGGATAAAGTAACAGATTTTATGAATTAGAGGTGGGAAAGCTATGAATCCTTAATCTCAAACTTCAGCAAAGCAAATAAACCCAACACCAGTTCCAGCTGGTTGAACCCAAAGAGAGTCCAAAAACTTAGAATAGCCTTTGGCTGGCAGGTCGCACTTCATGTACAAGCCTTTGTTTTCGGACAGGCAACCTGGACAGTTCCTAACATCTAATGGCTGAAATGGAGCCGCTTGAGATCTCTTGTCTTACCCTTGTGACTTGTGTCACTTGCCTGATTTTCCTTTTGGTGTGGAGGAAAAGTCACAAAATGAGAAGGCTCCCCCCTGGCCCAACTCCCCTTCCCATCATTGGGAATATGCTGCAGCTGAACTTCAAGGACATCCCTGCATCCATCTCCAAGGTAAGAGGGTTCAGTTCTGGGGCTGGTCATCTCCAGGTAAGAGGGGTCATCTCCAGTCTTTGCATCTCAGACCACTGCATGTTGGCTGTCTTGCCTCAATCTTTCTTACTTTTGCTCATCACTAAGGCACTTTTGGGTGTCTACACCTGTATTACAGCACAGAAGATCCTTTTCCTTTTTGGACTGTATCACTTTAGAGCAGGTAGTGAGGGGTGTTGACCTGAACTGAGATATTGGTTCAATTCTACTGAATGAGAAAATTCTGGGACCAGAACGTATTTTAATTGAAAGGCTTCCAATCCCCTCAGCATATAACACTGACCAAAAGGCAAGTGGAATCCACGAACAGAAATCATTTGCATATGAGAGCTGGATGGAAGTCCTGGTTGTCTTGTAATGGCTGTGTAATTTTAAGCAAGTTACTCACCTGTGAATGGCATTAATAATAGTACCTAGTCCGTGAAGTTATTGTGTAGATTGATTAAGCTAATGCATTCGAATTATTAGAACAATGTTGACAAATGTAATAAATGTCCTTCTAGATTATTATTTTATACTAAATGATCTGCGGGAGGCTTAGTGATCTTACCTTTAAAGAGTGATTCCGCTCTCCCTTCCCCAACATCCTGCTCTGATGCAGCCCAGCCCTGCAACCTGGACTGACATTCAAATATTTTGAAATACTCCTTGGGGAAAAGATATTGTCTCCATGAGTCCATTGTGCAAAATATATTCTCCAGGAAAGAAGAACCAGTCCTGGAGATTTCTTCTCTGATTGTAAGCCTTAGCACTAAATAGTCAAACACTTAATGAGCCCATACTTTTTGACAAACTCTGGGAATACTGCAATGAACAAAGAGGCAAAACCCCTGCCTCACATAACTTACTTTCTAGTGAGAGGAGTCAGACAATAACCAAAACAAATCCATAAAACATATAGCACCTTAGATATTATAAATGCTGTGCAGAAAAAATAATACAGAGAAGGGGAGCAGAGGTTGAAATTTTAAATAGGCTGTCCAAGGAAGGCTTCACTGAAAGGCTGGAGTGACATAATGTGCTGTATGTTTTAACCAGTCACTGTGGTTTTGATTACTATAGCTTTATAGTATGTTTTGAAATCAGAAAGTAAGAGTCCTCCTGCTTTGTTCTTCTTTTTAAAGATTGCTTTGGCTATTAGGGTCCCCTTGAAATTCCATATAAATTTAAGGATTGGCTTTTCCATTTTTGCAAAGAAGGCTGTTGGAATTTTGACTGGGATTGCATTGAATCTATAGATTGCTTTGGATAGTACTAATATCTTAACAATGTTAAGTCTTCCAATTCATGAACATGGAATTTCCTTCCATTTATTTAGGTCTTATTTAATTTCTTTCAGCAATGTTTTATAGTTTTCAGTGTACGAGTCTTTCACCTCACTGAACTTATTCCTAGGTATTTTATTCTCTTAGACGGAATTGTTTTCTTAATTTCCTTTTTAGATGGCTCATTGCTGCTGTATAAAAATTCAACTGAGTTTTGTGTATTGACCTATCCTGCAACTGTACAGAATTCACTTATTAGCTGTAGTAGCTTTCTTGCGGATTCTTTAGGATTTTCTATATTTAGGATCATGTCATCTGCAAATAGAGACAGTTTTACCTCTTCCTTCTCAATTTAGATACCTTTTATTTCTTTTTCTTGCCTAGTTAATCTGGCTAGGACTTCCAGTACAATATTGAATAGTAGTGATGACAGCAGGCATCCTTATGTTGTTCCTTATCTTAAGGGGAAAGCTCTCAGTCTTTCTCCATTGAGTAAGATGTTAGCTGTGGGTTTTTCATAAATGCCCTTAATCATTTTGAAGAATTTTCCTTCTATTCCTAGTTTGTTGAGTGTTTTTATTATGAAAGGGTGTTGGATTTTGTCAAATGCCTTTTCTGTGTTGACTGAGATGATCAGATGATTCTTTTCCTTTGTTTTATTAATTGATTTTCTCATGTTGAACCACCTTTACATTCCAGGGATAAATCCCACTTGATCATGGTATATAATCCTTTTAATATGCTGTTGGATTTGGTTTGCTAGTATTTGTTGAGGATTTTTGCATCTGTTTTTATCGGGGATACTAGCGTATAGTTTTCTTTTTTGCATGTGGTATCTTTAATCTTTTCAGAGAACTAATTCCTGGTTTCATTGATTCTCTCTATTGTTTTTCTATTCTCTACTTCATTTATTGCTGCTTGTCATGAATTGAATCGTGTTCCCAAAAACGTATGTCAACTTGATTCCCAGGTATTGTGTGATTGTCCACCATTTTGTCATCTGATGTGATTTTCCTATGTGTTGTAAATCCTATCTCTATGGTGTTGAGATGGGATTAGCGGCAGTTATGTTAATGAGGCAGGACTCAATCTACAATGTTGGATTGTGTCTTGAGCCAATCTCTTTTGAGATATAAAAGAGAGAAGCTAGCAGAGAGACATGAGGACCTCATACTATCAAGAAACAAGAGCCAGGAGAATAGCGCATCCTTTGGACCTGAGGTCCTTGCACTGAGAAGCTTCTCAACCAGGGGAAGATTGATGAGGAAGACCTTCCTCCAGAGCCAACAGAGAGAAAGAAAGGCTTCCCCTGGAGCTGATGCCCTGGATTTGGACTTGAAGCCTGCTAGACTGTGAGAGAATAATGTTCTCTTTGTTAAAGTCATCCACTGTGGTATTTCTGTTATAGCAGCACTAGATAACTAAGACACTGCTCTACTCTTTGTTATTTCCTTCTTTCTGGTAGCTTTGGGCTTAGTTTGCTCTTCTTTCCCTAGTTCCTCAAGTTGTAAAATTAGGTTATTAATTTGAGATTTTTCTTCCTTGAATGGAGGCATTTACCACTATAAATTTCCCTCTGAGCACTGCCTTTGCTATACCCCAGAAGTTTTGGTATGCTGTGCTTTCATTTTTATTCAACTTTAAGTATTTCCTGATTTCTCTCTTGATTTTTTCCTTTACCTAATGGCTGTTTAAGAATGTGTTGTTTAATTTCAACATACTCGTGTATTTTCCAGTTTTCCTTTTGTTATTAATTTTTAGTTTTATTCCATGGTAGTCAGAGGTGATACTTTGTGTGATTTCAATCTTTTAAAATTTCTTGAGACTTGCTTTGTACTTTCTACTTGTTTTTTTCTGATTTTTTTTGTGAAGGGAATGGGAGCATACAGCTGCTTACCTAACGATCATGTCTTTCTCTCTCAAAACCAAGTTTTTTGTTTGTTTGATATAGAGGAGGTAGGCAAAAAAGGGTATCAAGAGCTCGGTTTTGGACATATTAAGTTTTAAAATCCTATTCAACATCTGAGGGGACATGTGAGTAAGCAGTTGCATATATAAAGCTCCAGTTCAGGGTATGGGTCCAGACTACATATGCAAATTTGGGAGTCAGAATATAGAATGTATTTAAAGCCATGAGACTCGATGGGATCATGTAGGGAATGAGTATAGCTAGAAAAGATAAGAGGACTAAGGACCAAGCCCTAAATCCCAGGACACCTCAACAATTGGAGCAAGATGAGGAAGAACCAGTAAAGGTGAGCAAGCATGAGCAGCCACCAAGTAGGAAGAGCCCCAGAACAGTGTTGTGTTCTGGAATCCAAAGGAAGAGCGTATTTCAAGGGGTATTTTAACCATGCAAGATGCATTTGATGTAGCAATATAGAGGTTTTCAGTGATCCTCGTAAAAGAAATTTTAGTGGAGTGGTGTGGGCAACACCTGGCTGGTGTGATTTCAAAAGACAATGACGGGGAGAAATTGGAGCTAGCAGATATAGACAAATTTTTCAGAGTTTTTCTGTAAAGAGGAGTGTCATGCCACAGTAGCTGGAAGAGGGTAGATCCAGTGCACACACACACACACAAAAAAAAAAAAAACCAAAAAACAGGAGTTGACCTTTTCTTAGGAATGTGGCAAGTTCATAGTAACAGTAGAGAAAACTTTGTACATGGGCACAGATCAGGAAAAGTGTAGATGCTATGGTATTAGCATATGAAAACTCTCTTCTGATTATTTCTGTTAGTGAATTAGGGAGTAAGCCATCGCCTGAGGGTGAGGGGGGAGACAAGGTCCTGGAGGTTTGTACCCAAGAATATAGAGACATTCTCATTCAGAGAAACAAAGAAAGTAGTTTCATTTTTCTAGGCTAGAGAAAAGGAGTCAAAGTGGCAAATTTCTCAACCATTTACATGAAAGTTGATTAAAAAGGAAAGGCAGGAAAGAAAAAAAAAAAAGGAAAAGAAGAAGGAAGGTTATAGAGGAAGTCAGGAAGTCAGCACAACTTGACCAAAGAAAATGCATAGCAGTTTCCTAGACACATCCAAACACCTTGAGGGACAGAATTGCTGAGGCTGGAGGCTGGGGACCATAGTCTCAAGGGACATCTAGGGTCAATTGGCATAACATAGTTCATAAAGAAAATGTTCTACATCCTACTTTGGTGAATAGCATCTGGATTCTTAAAAGCTTGCAAGTGGCCATCTAAGAAATATCTATTGGTCCCATCCAGTCTGGAGCAAGGGAGAATGAAGAAAACCAAAGACAGAAGGAAACTATTAGTCCAAAGGACTAATGGACCACATGAACCACAGCCTCCACCAGCCTGAGCCCAGAAGAACTAGATGGTGCCCCGGTTACCACCACTGACTGCCGTGACAGGGATCACAATAGAGGGTCCCAGACAGAGCAGAAGAATAATGTAGAACAAAATTCAAATTTACAAAAAAAGACCAGACTTACTGCTCTGACAGAGACTGGAGGAACTCCTGGATACTCTGCTAACCCAGAACTGAAACCACTCCTGAAGCCCACTTTTCAGACAAAGATTAGACAGGCCTATAAAACAAGCAGTAACACACATGAGGAACATACTTCTTAGTTCAACCAAATAAACGAGGCCACATGGGCAACTCCTGCCCAAAAGCAAGATGAGAAGGCAGGAAGGGACTAGGAACTAGACGAATGGACACAGGGAACCTAGGTTGGAAAGGGGGAGCATGCTGTCACATTGTGGGGATTACAACCAATCTTACAAAACAATATGTGTATAAATTCTTGAATGAGAAATTAACTTGGGCTGTAAACTTTCACCTAAAGCACAATAAAATTAAAAAAAGAAAAAGCAGAAAGAAGGAAGAGAAAAGACAAGAGAGAAAAATCGGGCAGTCAAAAGAAAGGTTCTTAGAGACAATAATCATAAACCAATAAAAGTTGGTCATAATATACAAACAGATTTTTTATGTAATTTTATTTTTTTGCAATTTATTTAGAACTTTAACATATTTCCATACCATTAGGTATCTTTCTAAAGCTAATTTCAGATGGCTGCTCTGAATTCCACTGCATGGATATAAAATAAATTTGAAAATCAACCCCCAATTACTGACTATTTTAGTTCTCTATCTTTCCTCTTGGAACACACTACTGTAAATATATGGAATTTCATCCTTTGTTTTTATCTGCAAAGTGAGCTCTCCCCCAAGCCCTTACCTTGTATGCTTCTTCCTCATCTTTAATTTTAACTTAAATATTACCTCCTCACAGATGTCTTTCCAGGCCCAATTTATCTCATTAAGTTCTCCCATTACTGCCCAACACAATTTTCCTTCATAGAATTATGTTCAATTTGCACTGCAAATGTAGTTTGTTTGCTGTCAAGCTTAAAGCTCTATGAGGGCCCCTAGGCCATGCACAGTGTTTGACATAGTATAGGTGCTTAGTAAATATTTGTTGAAGAGTTGTATATATAAATGAAGGAAAGAATGAATCCATGACTATACCTCAGATTAAATCCCTAAAATGTAATTGTTGGAGCAAAGGCTAAGTCACATGTAAAATTATTACTTAATTTCTACTCACAGCCTCCAACGGAGAGATTTCACAGTAGCATTCACGCACTGCTCACATCTCTTCCAGCTGGCTAAGGAGTATGGCCCTGTTTATACCCTGCACCTTGGACCCCAGCCCACTGTGGTCTTACACGGATATGAGGCAGTGAAGGAAGCTCTGATTGATCGGGGTGACGTATTCCTCGGCAGAGGACGTATGCCAATTATTGAGGATACCCAAAAAGGATATGGTATGTTTCAAATCAAAATACACATCAATTTTCATTGGTATCTGAATAGTTAGCCAAAAAAATCTGATTAACTAACTTAATGAGTACCTGTTCTGCACGAGGCAGTTGATTAGATGCCCTGATAGCTCCATTGCGATGACCATCAAAAACAGACTCCGAATTCCCTGTAAAGTAATTCTGTGAACATAATTGAGCTGAAACAGTCTTATTTAGGTTGCTACCCAGAGGTCCTACGGTCAAGAGAGCTGGGGAAAGCATGCTTGGGTTGTAGTTTCACATGGTACAAAGGCTGCAGTAGTACAGTGGCAGCAGCAATAAACAAATGACTAGATATAGAAATCACTGTGTTTTCAGTGGCAACCTGGTTTGTCAAGGGGTAGTGATGGTGGTGGTAGTGGTGAGGGTAGGACCGGGGAGGTGAGGCACAGGGAGCTACAATGGTACTAGTCATGTTCTAGTTCTCCAGATGGATGATAGGTTCACAAATAATTCATTTTATTATTATGTTTCAAAACTTAGACATATATTCCTTGCTACGTATCAAGTATTACACAATAAAAAAATTAGGATAGCCTGAAAGTCTCCACCAAACCACTTAGAAATAATAAAATAACAAAGTCAAGAGTGTCTTAGTTATCTAGTGCTGCTGTAACATAAATACCACAAGTGAATGGCTTTAACAAACAGAAATTTATTTTCTCCCAGTCTAGTAGGCTAGAAGTCCAAATTCAGGGCGCCAGCTCTCAGGGAGGTTTCCTCTCTCTCTCTATTGGTTCTGGGGGAAGGTCCTTGTCATCAATCTTCCCCTGGTCTAAGAGCTTCTCAGTGCAGGGACCCCAGGTCCAAAGGAAGTGCCTCGCTCCCGGTGCTTCTTTCTTGGTGGTATGAGGTCTCTCTCCTCTCTGCTCCATTCTCTCTTTTATATCTCAAAAGAGATTGACAACCTAATCAAGATACAACCTAATCCTGTAGACTGAGTCCTGCCTCATTAGCATAACTGCCTCTAATCCTACCTCATTAACATCATAGAGGTTAGGATTTACAACACATAGGATAATCACAACAGATCACAAAATGATGGACAACCACACAGTCCTGGGAATCATGGCCTAGCCAAGTTGACATACATTTTTGGGGAACACAATTCAATGCATAACAAAGAGGGAAAAAATTATTTTCAAAGCACATTTATGGATAACTAATTAAATATAATGCAATGAAGTAAGTGCCGAAACAAAACAATTATTGATCTCTCTCACATAAGATAAGGCTGTATTTGTTTAACTAAGGAAACAGTCATGCCTTCCCTCTATTACTTCCCATTTTCCTAAACAAGTTGATTACACTGGCTGTGTGTGAGCCATTAAACTAATTCTTAACTTGAAAATAGAAGCTACTGGGCTGGATTGAACTGAAGAGGGGCAAAAATATTTATCTAAAACTTGCAGTTATGGAAACTCTGAGAAAATTGGTTTCTAAGCTTCCTATAAAATTCCTGTTACTGCTCCTTCGTTGCACATGATGGGAACAGATAATTCAATTCTTTCTTCCCTTAACTTTTCTATTCTTCTAGAAAATAGAAGAGAAAGGAACCATTCATTGATATTTTAGTTCTCCTTTCTAAATGAAATTATCTGCTGAAATACTAAAGAGCTTTCTGAGTCCTTTGAACAAGTATAATACAGTGCTGCAGATTCCTGCCATGTATGTATACCTGATCAAGTTGTTGAAACATTTTCCTGCTAAATATTAATTCAATATTTTGCCTAGTTTCCTAATCTTTATACATTTATCTCATTGAAAGATTGCAACAGCACAAACCTTACTTTATTTTATTTGTGCAGTCTACACACCCGGGTTAGATGCCATTGTCCACTCATTAAAATGTCAAAAGTTAAAATAATTTCCAGTGTCCTTAAAGATATGGATAAACAGGCACTCATTCCTTATCTGAAGAGTGCAAATGCTGTATCATTTTTTTTCAGCCTGTCTACATTTTTTTAAAATTTTTTTTATTGTACTTCAGGTGAAGGCTTACAGAACAAATAGTTTCTCATGAAACAGAAGTACACAT